GTTCAGAGCTGCTACGAGTAGGTAAGAGTCCTCTCCGAGCTTTCCGAATCGTCCTACGAGTTTTTGCCGAGTTTGCCGAGTTAGCAACTCGGCATTCTCTTGTAACTCGTATGCTGAAAAAGACCCTAGTGGGAGAGGGGGGAAAAGCCCCTCTCCCACTAGGGTTGTCATACTGGTACTGGTACTGGCACTTGTAGCCGTCTGATTTCAGACATTCGGCAGCCATTGACATTATGTTGGCGCTAAAAGACTGCATATTGTGATGAGGGACATGTGTACAAACAATTACCAAACACAAAAAATATGGAAAACTGAATGCTATTTACAAAATAATATTCTATTTAATGCTTATGGGTGACTTTCTTTGATAAATTGGCTCAGTGGTGCAGTATGGTCACAGTGTATTTCTTACCAAACTTAAAATATAATAATCTTCATATTGGTCAAGCGAAATTACGATCGAATCCTTACATTTTAAAACGTGCAAACTATTTTTTAATAACAGAGGAAAACAAATGCGGTCCTTGTAACTTGGTAGTTATCCTATTTTGTTTAAAATACTTTCTTTGCTAAATATTGCAATCATCTCAATGAAAAATGTAGGGAAGAATGTAAATTCCTTATAATTAACTCGATGCTTGATAAACGGAATCTGTTCTTGAATAACTATTATTTACCTGGTCATCAGTATTCATCTTAAAGAGTCCTTGTATGCACGCATGGAACGTTAAAAAAGTACTCCCACGAGATAGGGGGCGCCCGTATTAGAATTCGAATAGCGTTCGCTCGAAACTCGTCTTTTAAGGACTCCCCACCCTCTCCATCCACGATTTTCAAGAATGTTGTTCCCATCCGGTCTCATCAGCCGATCAGTCCTTTGATACTTTCGTCAGGAATCCAGATTTCCCGAGATTAGCATTTTTATCCATTTACCCAAAAAGCAAAATTTTGACCTTCATGGTATTTATTGGCATATGAAAAACAACTTTTTGTTCTAAACTCATTGTTATGACTGTTTTTACCATGGAGGTATTATAGTAAACTCACTATTCACTAATACCGCCATGATATTACGAAGCATTATTGTTTGTCGCTGGGCTACATTCTCTAATATTTTTTTTTCCATTTAGAAGATGGCTAGATTATGAATTATAATGTTATCAAGTAAATATCAAATAATCAGACAGGATTCACCTGTAAATAATGTCTACCACAAGTAACATTAAAATACTAGCAGCTAGCTCAGTCGGTTAAAGTGGTGGTAGCCACTGTGTGTGCACTGTACCGTGGATCTTGCCCAGTGCACGTTAAAGAACGTAGTGCACTCTTCGCAAAAGAGTAGGGGATTCATCTCCTTTCAACTGCCCAATTCACCACCAGAAGGAACTAGTGGAAATCAGTTTCAGGACTTTCGCGGGTTATCTTTGGTATCACATCGAAGAAATCCAATCTATGCAGTGTCTACGTAAAGGCCAACTCAGACAGCGTCGGCCGACGCAGCCCGACCCGATTTATCGTCGGGGACAGTTTTAAGCCGTCGTGAGAAATATGTTTAATATTCTACTACGCGATTGCCACCGACGCACACCATCGCAAACAAATTAAAGTAAATACCTAAAGCAATCAAAATATATGAATGACAACATTTTAAAAATTGAATTGTGGGGTCAAGGAATGTTTTTCTCTCCCAATTACAGAACCGTTTAAGATAAAATTCCTAAGTCAGCAATTAGGTGTTTTTTTTTTGTTTTATCAAACTTTATAAACTCGAAAACGAAATAAAATTTCTTTCACTTATAACATAGACACAGACGGAGGTCAAGAAAGGTTGCGAGAGAGCAAATACATGAACAATCTGTGACTTATTGGAAGTTGATGACTGAAGTTGATAGTTGAAATTAATGACTGTTTGTAATTTCATTAAATAAGCAATTTAAAATTAATCTTTGCATGTACAGTACATCAGTCCGCCCTTCATTTCGAGATCCTCTAATTCGAGACCACTTTTTGAAAGTAGGCTACCTATCTTTTAACACTGAGCTCTCCATATAATTCAAGACGAGACCACCTTTATGGAAGTAGGCCAACCGAGTGACAAAATGACCTCCAATTCAAGACCACTTTGAAAATAAAAAAAAGGAGTAAAATACTCATAATTTCAAAAATTAACCGCAAAATTAGCAGATAGATTTTCGTAAGTTTATCCGTATAAACAAATAACAGAAAGGTCCACTGGTTAATCTCAGATAATATAATATAATACATAGGCCTACTCCAAGTATCGAAATGCACGCCATCGTGGGCGATTCGACATTGCAGACTGGGTGGTTGTATTGAAGATTGGGATCACAAAACAAAATAATGTCTTTACTTATGTAAGGACGGACAATACAACCTATAGTCAACTTTACATTATACTGTTCAGATTTTTTTTCCAATGTGTTTTAAAAAGTTTCAATAGGTAACAAAATTAAAAAGCAAACTAAAGTTTACAAAAGCAAAAAAGTTTACAAAAGTAAATGGTTGTCCTATGTTGTCTTTTGGAGACTACTTTTAGATTCGGTCTTCATTTAGAGATTTAAGGTTCGGTTTACTCTCTAATTATGCTATTTGGAGACCACTTCTAACTTGTGGTCTCTTTAGCGGTTTCTAATGCGAGACCGACTCCCAAGACCGCCCCACTCGAATTAGGACGGACTCCCCTCTCCCACTAGGGGTTTTTTCAGCATACGAGTTACAAGAGAATGCCGAGTTGCTAACTCGGCAAACTCGGCAAAAACTCGTAGGACGATTCGGAAAGCTCGGAGAGGACTCTTACCTACTCGTAGCAGCTCTGAACTCGTGGTGCTAATTTTGAACATGTTCAAAATTATCGCCACGAGTAGATAACTCGTAGTAAACTCGAAGAACTCGTAGGTAGCTTGTAGAGTACTCGGGGTACTCATACCTAGCTTGTACACTACTCTGGATATTCGTCAGCGGTTTTGTCATCTACGAGTTTGATGCGACCACCGAGTTGGCTCGTACCTAACTCGTATCTAATTCGGTACAAACTTGTTACGCTCGTAATAGTCTCGTAGTTAACTCGGTGCTCTGCTCGGCATAATTCGTACATAACTCGTAACCAACTCCATAAAGTCGTACCTCACTCGTAGCTAACACGTAATAAGCTCGTATAGGTCCTTTCCAAAGATCACGAGTTTTAACTCGTAGAAATCGTACGACTCTTAGGTGAAATAAACCTAGGTGGGAGGCGATTTTTTTTCCCGTACGAAACATTTACATGAAACTCCACTCGGGCCGTCTCGACTGAATCGACCCGAAAATCTCATATTGCAGAATTCAGGTCAAAAGGTCATCAACAACTTCTGATCTGAGAGA